TACATGCACATCTGTGAGACGGACCAGTTCAGCATGGGGGTGTTCCTGCTGAAGAGCGGGGCCTCTATCCCGCTGCACGACCACCCGGGCATGCACGGCGTGCTCAAAGTCATGTACGGGAAGGTCCGGATAAGCTGCTTCGACCGGCTCGAGCGACCGGCCGGGGGCGGGGGCGCGCTGCCCCGGGCGGAGATGGGCGCTCTGCGGCGCTACGTGCTTCGCTCCACCGGGGAGTACACGGAGGAGAGTGGACCCTGCGTCCTCTCCCCCGACCGGGACAACCTCCACCAGATTGACGCCGTGGATGGGCCCACAGCTTTCATGGACATCTTAGCCCCGCCGTACGACCCGGACGACGGCAGGGACTGTCACTACTACAAGGTGCTGCCCGGGGAGGGGGTCAAAGACTCGGAGCAGACGGAGAAGGAGGTCTGGCTCATGGAGATCTCGCAGCCTCCGGAGTTCTGGTGCGGAGGGGAGCCGTACCCGGGCCCGGAGGTGTGCCTCTGATCCCCCCTCCACCCTCCCGGAGCCCTGCAGCCTGGCTGGATCCACAAAGGATCTCCAGTCATCATCAGAGCCGCCAGCAGGCGCAGAGTAAAGGGCCAAATGTGGGATTAAACTGTGGTAAAGGGTAGAAATGATGCGTCAGCCCTGCAGCACACACTCTGCGAGCGTGAACTTTATTCACTCCAGCTTCTGCTTCAGTTGGACAAACATCGGAGCCTCAGGCAACAGTCAACGACTTCCTGCCTGTGCTGTGATCCCCGTGGATGTGACGGTCAGGAACCCACATCTGAATCATCTGTTGATGTGCTCACTTTCAGGAAGTAGTTTTATTTTTAAAAACTGAGGCTCTTTACTCTACAGAGACTCCAGTTAAGCCAGAGTCTGTCCTGAAACCTGACTGAACGCTAACAAACCTCTTTCATATTTATATTTACTCTGCTCAGTGACACTAACTGGATATGGAGGACCTCAGCTGCCCAAATCACACATAAATCCATTGTTGAATCGACAAAGTTTTCTTGTTTTCAGGCTGTTAAAATGGGGGAAAATAGATGTGCAGGACTGAAACGACCACAGTGAAATACAGCCAATAAGCCTTAATGCATCAATAAGTTTATTAATAGTCCATGGGCATAGATGAATATTGGATTCATAACATTTAATTTACTGCTGTATAATAAAATAACCTTCCCAGTTATTCATTTATAAAAGTGTTTAAAATGATTTAAAATTGGTATAGAGTTCTAGATAATATGCTAATTTGCCATTGAACACGTAGGAATATGAGCATCAGAAAACTCCATGTTGTTTGTATGCATTGCTAACTCTTCAAAGAATGTATAATAAATGAATAAATAAGGGATTAAAGAGGTTTGACTATGAAGGAAAACATAAAAAATAAAGTAAAATAATGCAGAAGCAACTTAGCTGTGAAAGTATTAAATGACCTAATAATACATGTTAGTATTTTAATTATGTATTAATTTAGAAATGAGCAGGTAAATAATTTAATTTTAAATATTTATTCTATAAAGTGACACTTTTTGTTTTCTTATTATTTTGTTAATCATTTTCTTTTCTTTGTTTCCAAATTTTGTTTTTGTAAAATCAAAATGTTTGTGATGTTAACGTTTTGATTTTGGTGGATTGATGCCAAAATAGAAAATGAATTTAAAAAGGACAGAAAGAGGTTAACTGCACAAATTTGTGTTTTTGGCAGCTTCAGTCTTCCATAACGTGTTGAATCTGACCGACAGCTGTTTCGTTACAGTCACATCTGGACTGATTTTCAAAGCTAAAATCAGACCAGCTGTTTTTATTTCACACCTGAAAGTTGATAATGCTGCGTTTGAGAAAAGTCTGGAATTTCCTGCTTTCATTTTGACTGAATTTTTCAAGGTTCACTGAAAACAATAATAATTTTGATGTTTTAATACACGTCAGTACTTCATGTCCTTCAGTCTGAGGACCTCACTGGTGATGAATGTGGTGTTTATTCAAAAGAAGGTTTCAGGTACAGGAACAACTACAGAGGACTGTAACTGCTGA